TACCTGGAGCACCCACCGTGAGCTGGTGCTTGGCTGAGGGTTTCCATGACTAGACCATGGAGTCGGCAGTGTCACTGTCCTCCGGCAGGCGGGGAGCCATCCTTCCTTTGCTGCTCACCCTGCTTCTCCAACAAGCCCGGACCTCATGAGTGCATGGACAGAAGAGGCCCTGGCTTAGTGCTTTCCAACCAAGGCCCCAAAGCTATGGGACTCAAGAGACCCAAGGACAGGACACTACCGCTTTGCTTCTCAGGCATCCTGCACTCTGGCTCTGGGACAGGAAGGGACTCAGGCCCGCTGCCTGCAGGGTGTGCCCCCGACTTGTGCAAGCTCCTCCTCTCTGCCACACCTGTCCTGACAATGCCCAGGGGCCTTCCGAGGGCTGGTGGGTGCACACCTCAGTGCTCAGCGTGGTGACAGCAGTGGGTGGCACTGCCTCAGGCCCTGGCCTCCACCATCTTCACCTCCTTGAGGTTGGACTGACCGAGCCTGCGGCCCCTGCTCCACCCAGATACCAAGACAAGCCTTCTAGGGCCACTAGCCGGTGACCAGCACCTCTGCCTTCATCAGGGAGTACAGTGGCCTCACTGAGCCCAGGTGAGCGGGAGGCCAGGTCAACTCGGGGAAGGGCGCTCTCAGCCACCAGAACTTCACTGGGAGCTAGGTCTGTGAAGGCCATCTGCCTGCTTCCTCCTTGGCCTGGACTTTCAAGAGCTTTGGAATCATCAGGCTTTGGTTCCAAATTTCAGCAAAGCTGCCTGTAGCTCTGCGGCCTTGGGAAAGGCACTGAAACTTGCTGATCTCAGTTCCCAATTTATTAAGTGGGAGACTGGGAGATGGGCGATGCTGGAACCTTGGGGAGTGGCTCTAAGGTCCCCTTTCCGCCTGAGGGTCCTCCCCTGCTGATGCTCTCCAGCCCCACCTTCCTCCCCTCATACCAAAGACACAGTTCTGGGCCAGCTGTGCGGAACTCAGTTACCCAGAGGAAGAGTCAGTGTAGAAAGCCCCCAGGAATCCCACAGGCCTGTCAGAAGGGCGTGGCCCAGGAAAGGTGAGCCTAGGGTGGGGCAAGACAGAGCTTTCAGATCCCAGTGTGAGAGTGGTGCCAGCTGCGACTGCAAGGTAGGTGGGTGGTCCGGAGCGTGGGAGGCAGCGCCTCGGTGCCCAGCAGGGGGCGCTCTGCACCCAGTCAATCGCAGCCCGCGGCCGCAGAGCGCCTGCCCCGCCCTTCCCGGCAGAGGTCAGCCGCGCCGGGAAACGCATCCTGAGCCCAGGCTGCAGCAGCCTCTTAACAAGCCCAGGGCCGCTATCGACACATCCCCAGAGGCAGCGAGGAGCCAGGGAGCCTGGATGCTGACTGATAATGTTAAGCCGGGGCCACTTCCTCTGGGCCCTGCCCGCCTCCCGGGCCTATTCGTCACAGGGGGGCCCCGAGGCAGGGTCCCCGCGGGGTGGGCAGAGGAGGCTGGGAGCCGGGGTGCACCCCGAGGCAGGATCTTGAGGGAGGCGCCCAGGCGGGCTTCTGGCGGCGAGCAGAGGTGCCGGCTCCCCACGAACCAGGTGAGCAGACCGCGTGGCTGACACCAGGAGCGTTCCCGGAATCCTGGACAGCCCCCGGGTGATAGGGCACAAAGCTTCTTACCCCGTTCTCTCTCTCTCTGTCTCACGCGCACGCACGCGTCCCAGGACCCCTGGGGCGGTCTGTCCCGGCTTGAGGAAGTGGAAAACTCGCATGCGGTACCCAGTGGGATGGGACTCACAGTCCCTCAGGAATCCACATCTCAGGGTGTAGTCAGGTGCCTGGTTAATGGATTTGGGCCATCATCAGCGCCTAATCCCTGCTGGCTGTCATTCTTGATAATGCTAGAACCTCCTCTGGCCTGCGGGGCCTGGGGGTGACGCCAGATGCAGGGTATCCTGGCTTGAGGGCAGGAAGACCTGGTGTTCCCAGCACGCCGCCCCCCGCCTTCCCATTTCGTCCAGTGCCAGCCAGAGCTGCTGTGGGCTGAGTCATTCATCCCCAGAGATGCATGTCACCCAGCTTGCCCTCCATGACTGTGTTCACAGTGGTGTCACTAGGGGAGTGCACAGGGTGACACTGTCAGAGGGGGTGACACCAAAATGACTGTCTATAAAATTTTTGTGCAGTGTTTCAGCAGAAATTTATTATTTTTTTATAAAAACATTCCTGTAGTTAGTTATAACAACAAAAACATTTTTTGTAAGCCCAGCTTACATGTATCAATATACCTACAAGGCTAAAAGGCTATGCTAATTGACTTATTGAACCTTCTAATACGCTCCGGTCAGAGCTGTCATTATTAGCTAATTACAATGCCACTTCCAATCATGTGGTTTCATCTGCAGTCACTGTAAGCACGTGCTGTTGTTTTCCTTGCTGACGGTGTCTTTTAGAGTTGCTGATTTTGTCAAAATTTCTTATATTTTGGTTACAGTATTGTGGCAGTTATGGGGGGGAGTGACTCCATGAATTACCGCACTGGGTGACCCCAACCCTAGTGACACCACTGTGTGTTCTCCACGCTGCTGGGCAGGGCGGGAGCAGAGCCCCAGCACTGCTGATCTTAGTTGAGGGGTGTGACCTGCCTGTGATCAGGGCAGCACGTGAGGGCGGGGCCGGCCGGCCAGCGTGTGACTGGAGAACAATTCTCCCAGCCTCTCTGTCCCTGAGGCTGCCCTCCCCATGCTGATGAGCAGAGCCCTCCATTACTGCCCTCCCACCTGTGTTGTCCCCAAAGCAGACGGCCACACCGTGGGACCGTGTCATCCCCAAGGCAGGCTGAGGCTCATGAAGGTCACAGAGGTGGTTCCAGATAGAATGCCTCTAATCAGAGCCCACCTGGTGCAATCATGTCTCCCCCCACC